AAAATCTGCTGCAATTTGTTTGAGGTCAAACCTTATATTGCCCTTACTAAGTTTATACCATGTACCGTTGAGAAGAAAAGTCGTACAGAATTATTGCCTGGGAAAAAAGAAGGAAAAAAAAAAGGAAAGAAAGGGATAAAATAATTCTTGCCATTTCAAAACCGTGATTGGGTTGTACACGATCACACAAATATATCAGGGTTTTGTTCTTCGGAATAATATACTACTGACAATATACTACTACTTCCGTTTTGTACTCTCAAATTGAAATTGTCGAAATAATAACTGTTTTCTTTACTTCTTCGCAAACCCATTTGAATTCTCGTTGCTAAGGATAGCAATCTAGATCCTTGAAATATGTTGTCAAAACCTGGTTGTTCAGGTTCGACTGTACTGGTTTTAATCACATTTTGGCTGCATTTTTCTTCAAGGGTACATTACATCAGGTTCCCTGCTGTGATTCAGAACAGTTGAAATTAGTCGTGATTCTTACTTATTCAAAATAATTTACGCACTTGTGATTAACATCAGGTTCCCTGCTGCGATTGTTTTTTTATCATTTTTATTTTCAAACATGAAATGCTGGTGCAATGTACTCACATTTTTTTTCCGGCAATGAGAGTCTTTTGGACAAGACATGAAGTCGATTAATTATTAAAGCAGAATATTTATGACCGTTTTGATTCCTGCAACTTCAAATTCGAGCAATGTTGAACAAGTAAGAAGAACAAAGGATCGTTTGCCCTCGGTGTGATATTTTCGTTAAAAGCAACAAAATTTATGACCGTTTTGATTCCTGCAACTTCAAATTCGAGCAATGTTGAACAAGTAAGAAGAACAAAGGATCGTTTGCCCTCGGTGTGATATTTTCGTTAAAAGCAACAAAATTGATCAAAATCTAAAGTATAGGGTGTATATCTAGTAACCTGTTGCAATTTCAGCGCATTCTATTCTTTCAAGAAAACACGGTAACACCATGTGAATAATATCTCTTTTGAGTTGTGTGGTTCTAAGAAGAACCAGTTGTTTGAACTCGACGTGTCGACAGTGCGCTTTGCTCGTCATTAGGAGACTTTTATGTGAAGTGTTCGTTTATGTGACATGGCAGGCCATGGGACTACGAGAAGTCATCCATCATCGAACATTCCCACAGCGAAGACCACACCATCAACTGGCAACAAGCACAGCTCATCACAGCATCCAACAGTGGCACCCTCGGCGAATCTGGGAGGTCATGGACATCTACAAACACAACACAGATCCTCAAGACATAGGGTACCACCTCCATGATGGCGACCACTCCTTCATCGTAGGTCCAATGGGTCTTCTATACCTACGGGCCTAACCAATCCCCATAGCTCGATCCCCGCATTAGTTCTGATCGACAAAAAATACCTCTACACCTACAATACCATAACTGCACCATGACACAGACTACCTCTTCATCAACATGCAGTATGCAGACGATGTATGCTGGATAGCCAACGGTGCAGAAACGGTGGTGAAAAAAATACAGCTCCGTCAATACTCCTTGACAGGCAACTGAACTTCAACAACAGAACAGCTTCACATCAGCAGAGCAAAGAAAGACGACTGGCACAAATTAACTCGATCTGAGAAAGAGGGAAAAGAAAGGATACACATGCATGGACAATGTCCAAAACCAACAGTCAGAACTGGCAAAAACTTTAAACAGTCAGACGAGTGTGAAACACCACATGGGAAATAGTCACCAACTCAAATCAGCAGTGGAAGAAAACCAAATACCTTTGGAGCTGTCTGGATACCACAGAAGACATAAAACGCCAGAAATCACTCACAGAAACAACCATCAAGCAACTCAAACCAATACTATAGAACAAGAAAATCAACCCACAACTGAGAATAAGAATTCTCAATGCATATGCTTGAAGCGTCTTCCTGTACAACAGTCAACTTTGGACTCTAGAGAAAAAAACATGGAGAATCAAATCGATGCTTTCCACAGACGTCATCTAAGATACATACTAGGAATTCGGTGCCCAGAAAATATATCAAATGAATACCTGTATACACCAACCAACCAAAAGCCGTGGAGTGTAAACTTCAAAAACGACGCCGACCAGCAAGAGTCCGGCAGTCTCCTGATGACGAACAGAGCACACTGTTCGAAACATCGAGTCAAAACAACTGGCTCTTCTCAGAACCACACAACTCAATATTATTCACATGGTGTTACTGCAAACTTTCCTTTCTTTGTTCATGTCCACCATGCAAATCAGGCGGAAAAATAATTGTACTTGTTTAAAACCATGCATTTCTAAAGTTTGGTACAGAGCATTGCAAAAATTTTTTTAATCATTATTTAAATGGTCGATTCTTTTCCGAGCATTTGCAAATGGTCTTACCTAGCTTTAACTTGTTTTTATGCATTGAGGTTTCTCCCAAAATGATCTCTTTTTGTGATTACTTCGTTTGACTCGAAAAAAAATAAAACCTTCAAAACAGACGTGAATGTTGCTCGTGCGTGACTCTAGTCAGGGCCGTTATTGAACAAATTCCTATCGGAATAAATAATCAACACAAGTCACATTTCACCCGAAAGATTTTTTTGGCGGCATTTTACTTATGAAGTTCAGTTATGCCTCCCCCACTATCCCCCAAGTTATCTCCCAGCTGACGTTCAATGACTCATTTTCGTTGGTATTATTTTCAGCCAGCAATCTGCTCGAGTGCTGAGGATTCCCTTCGTGACATGTGCCTGACATTTTGGTCTGCAGTCTTTGCAAATTCCTCGTCAAACTCATCAGGGTGCCTTGAACTAGTAGCGGACACACGCTCGTATTTCTTTTCACATTTTTTGACATAAATCAGTTTGTCAAAAAAATAAGATAACTAAGATGAAAACAAATATTGATGTCATCAATATTTAGTTATTGTGTAATCATATTCTTTGGCATTCATCTTCTTTTTGTTCCGAGTTTTTTAAAATCAAAATTGTGTCCGCAGTCATGATTGTCCTAATCGTGATCATTGATAAAGTTGTAGTTCGTTTGTGATCGGTTATCATGTTAGGGAATCATAGCATAGGTTTTCCCGTTCAATTTCGCAACTTGTTCATTCAATCAGAGAGACTGTTCATTACATTGCAAAAAGTCGCAGTTAGCGCATTCGATTTTTTTTTAAATATTTACACCCACCAAAGCGTGTAGGCAGCTTTATCATGCAAAGAAAATTCATTTCTTTTGTTGGTTTTCAATTTTGCACTGAGTGTAGGCGAATCTGTAAGAGGAAGTATTCATTTTCAACGAAAGTGCAATGGAATAAAGAGGTCATTACATTCGCTAAATGTCAATCGTATTGGCCACAAACAAATTATATGGTTTTTTTATTTATTTTTTTTATTTCCACAGAGTGATTACAACAATTAACGATCTGGTCACTTAATTGTCCTTACATAAAAATCTGTATTTTGACGTAGTATTTTATCGGCTAGTGTTCTAAATGTATTTCCTTCTACAACTTTGACACTTTACATTGAAACAGTTCTGTTCTGCTTTTTTTATGTTCCCTTCCCAGGCATTCCAATCTTTGAAATAGCTGTACATTCCTTAATCCAAACTTTTAAAAGCCATGTCGTTTTATACTCTGTTGTATCACTATAACACAATATCTTGCTGATGCTGAACCGCCTCAGAACTGGCGTCGGCCGCTTTGCCACGACTATGAAAGGCTGGGGGCTCAGGGACTCTGCCGCATGCGACTGTGGCCACCCAGAGCAGTCAGTTGACCATATAATCGAGTCCTGTCCACAGCACCGGCCACCCCATGGCGAACATGGCATTATCACCCTGGACGATGACACAAAGACATGGCTTTTCTCCACCAAGTTGCAGGTGTGATGAGGAGACGATGGTAGCACACGACAGAAGAAGAATATCTTGCTAATGCAACTTCCAAATATCATTTAACTGTATTACTTTTTAAACATAGGCCTATTTATCAAAGTGAATTCTCGAGCGAGCGGGACTGGATTTCAAAGCACAAGAAATTCAATGCACAAGTCATGTAATTTGCTGCTTACTTTTCAGCTTTCGCTAAATTCAACCTGGTGTGAAAAGGTCTGCATGTTTTATGCGAATTTTAATGAAAATGTTTTGTTATTAAATTAGCAAAGTGTGAAATTGGGGGAAACCCTATAATATTTCATAGTGAATTTCATTCACTATGAAACTTTTGACCGAGTTACTATATTGTCTCAAAAATAGACTTGCCTTCAAAAATTAAGTTTAAAAAGTTTCAAATTGAATGCTAAATCAAGAAACACTCAGTTCGAGAGAAATTGAAAATTGCAACATTAAAAAAGGTTGTTTTTCTTGACGAATTGGGCAGGGCAAACCTATTATTTTAATTATTGACCTTCATGTATAGGTGAGCAATTTGTCCTTTTTTGGTGCTGTTATCAAAATGATAACAAAAATAATCTCACTAATTTATCTCAATTGAATAAAATAGTATTCCTTAAGTATAAACGTAACTAGTATTCGTGTGTATGTTTTACAGCTTTAACTGAACTCCTTGTGATCTCTTCTTGGACCTGATCTTCAAGAACGAACCATCAAGGTGGGTGTGGTGAGGTTTAATTAATGATCCATCAGGACCGGGGAAGGGGCAAGATATAATCCCCCCCCCCAAAAAAAAAAATACTACAGCTCCGCAACGCTTTTTCCCAACCGGTAATGCAATTTGGTGACCTCTCCTAACTTTATTGGCGGGCGAAATAAAAACAAAATCGATTGGATGGGTTGCCATGACAACAGGTTTTATAAACTAGGCTTTACGTAAATGTTATCCCCTTGTCCCCTCATACGCCACTGTTATATTACAAAGAAAACATTCTTTGAACAAAGATTTCTCCAATCTCATGGGTTTTTTTTCTTCAAAACTGACGGTGGACAGTCATGGGTTTAAGACTAGTTCTCCAGTTTGTCGGGCCTATATTTTTTTTACTCTTGTACAGAATGAAGATCTGCGTTGCAACCGTTCTTTCAATCGCCCTCCTTCTGGGTAACTCCGTCAACATCCGAGCTTCCGTTACTGGGCCGGTTCCCTCGGACGGTGATGGTCCTGCGTCTCAGGCGTGTCCGATGTGCTGCCAGGGGCCTGTTGCAATACCCGGCATACCAGGTCTGCCTGGGTCATTAGGTCAGCCAGGGTCAAAGGGCGAGCCAGGTCAAAAGGGTGAAAGTGGACAGATTGGGCCTATGGGTGAGCGTGGAGCAGCTGGGCTTAAAGGGGACGAAGGCATAGGCCAGCCCGGAAAAATTGGTCCAAGAGGAGTCCCAGGTGTTGTAGGGCCAACGGGGGAAACTGGTGTCAAAGGTCAAAAGGGTGAGCCAGGGGAGACACCAGACGACTCCAACCAACGGGTAGCATTCACCGTGGTGAGGACGAGCCTCTCGGATACCTCTACTAGTCGCGACACCCGTTTGCCCTTCCAGGAGGCTGAGACGCTTCTGCCGGGTACCAGCTTCGATCTCGAGACCGGCACGTTCACGTGTAGTGTGCCGGGCACCTATGTGTTCTTGTTTTCTGTGCTCAAATATCCTTCCAGCAGCGACCTGTTCGTTTATCTCCGGAAGAACGGCGACGAGGTTGTCTCTGGCTTTAGCAATGATTCAAGTCACTATGAGCAGGTGTCTGGGAGCGCGTTGGTGATTCTGCAGCGTGGAGATACGATGTATCTCACCATGGCCGGTAGGGCGCAGAGTCACCCCAACATTCGCTACACCTCATTCATTGGCTTCCTTCTTTACCCCCAATGAACACAACAATCCCAACACAAAAAGATACACGAGCATCATGTTGCTGATTTGTTGAATCACTTTCCATTTGGCCGAAACAATAACTAATGAATTAAAAGCAATAATTTTCCATGCCACAAAAATAGTACAATATTAACCTTTTTGGCATTGTGCATGCGCATATCTGTATGCAATAGATACCTTTTTGAGTGCATACACTTTATGTACGAGTATTGCATGAGATAATAGTGAAATGTACGCTTTAAGTTTGTTGACAATGATAATGTGTAGAGTGATGCATTTTTAATGGAATGTTTTTCTTCAAAGCGAGGTTGTTATTTTTTCCTCAAATCAAAACCACGTTTGCAATAAAGCAGTGCCATCAGAATGTTTACAACTAAAAAAAAATGTTAACGATAACCGCACCTTCCTGGAATTATTTGGGCCAAAAAGCCGACTGCCAACTGTTAATTGCCATATTTGGCCAAAAATATAACATAATTTTGTTTGCTGAAAATAAGTGCATTTTTTTTTTGTAATTGCGTTATTCATTAATAAATGAGGTTAATTAAGCAGAATACCTATATATAGGTATCCTAACGTAAACAAATAAAGTTTTAAAAGACATACCGACAAACAAACAAAATATTTGCCTACCTACCTACCTGGATAATTTTCGGGCGTACTGTAAACGCACATTTTCTTTCTTTGTTGTTATGTTCCTTGTATGCCCAGCACAGATGATGTCAATTAAATTAATCCCATGCATGTATACATTTTTATTTCATGTCACAACAAAGTCTCGAGTGATTGAATCTGATTTTCTTATTCACTTAAAGCTTGGCATTTTTATTAACAATTGTTTGAAATATTCTAATGCTATTTACAGCAATTAGAATGCACTGGTTTTTATTAAATGAATGCATTATTTTAAACGTTATAATATGTGAGATTTATGTAAAAGTAACAATTGACTGGCTATGAAAACAGTATGCATAAAACCTCATTCTGAAGATTACCAAAAGCACCACCATTGTTGGTAAATACTCTCTTTTTTCGCTTGGCTTCGTTATGAAAAAAACCACATGCTTTTAATTACTTTCAGCTGAAACAGAAACATGCCCACAGTATTGAAAAAAAGTAGAGTTGGCTGTTGTTTTTAAAGCCCGCAAAAGTGCGACAAGTGTTTCTTGATTGAAAGACTCCAAATTATTTGAAGACTGTTATTGTTCTTAATCAGTATTACTTGATTGCATTCAAGAAACTCACTTTGAAAACATCAGTGAAAGTGTGAGCCCGTGAGATGATAAGGAAACATTCTTAAGAAAATCAATTAAAACAAAGCACAAATTCCATACAAGTGAGGAGGGTCTTTCAACTGGCAAGAATTGTCCTTTGTCCCTAAGCTGCTACCAGATGGGATCACTTTATGGTATTTCAAGTGAAATTCTTTTCGGAGATTTTTATTTGATACCGTATATTTGGTCAGGTGATGCAATTAAGTCCCCCTCTGACAGCATATCCTTGGATAATGTCTCCAGTCAGCACATGTACATGTAAGTATGCTTCCTGGAAATAGGTAGACTCCTGCAAGAAATCAAAGAAAAGGTTATAATGGACCCTTCCTGCATGTCAATCAAAAAGTGCGCATTGACCAATCAGATCACCACTTGTGATCAGGTGACCACAGTAGCTGAGGCAGACTGGATCACAAGCACTGTTATATCTATTGCTCACCCCGCCCCCATTTTTTGCACCAGTGGTTAACACCCCCCTCCAAGTATTCTGTAAAGAGTGCTCTTTTTACACAAGTAACTTTTAGTTTTTCACAAGTGTCCTTAGTTTTATTTAAAAAAATGTTTGATTCGCCAGCGGCTTTTAAAGAAGTTTTGGTATTTCGTGTAAACGTCAGCAATTGCGCCGCCATGAAAAGTGCCACCCATTGACCTACCGGCGTTTGCCACGCCCCTTAGACAACTCTATAAGCCTTTTCGCCATTACCGCCATCTTTGAATTATTGTTCTCTGTGGGGGGGGGGGGGGGAGCATTACAATGAAAATACGTGCAATCATGCAATTGTAGCTAAGAATGATGGGATGTCTTTTTATTGTAATGCCCCCCCCCCCCCCATTTCAAAGATGGCGGTATCCGCGAAACGGCTCATGGAATTGTGTACCTTAATTTGTGATTGTCTCAGGGGACTAGTGCAAAAAAAACTTTCTACATGTAACTTCAACACAAATTGGCGAGTGCCCTTTTCATGTCTAAACGACCCCCCCCCCCCAATAAAAACAACCTGGCTTCAAATCGTGCAATCTCTATAGACATTAGAAGTAATTATCATTTCAACACCATTCTACACAATAAACAATCAAATCATCCTGATTTTGGTATTTGTGCTTGCAGCAGCAACCGGGTACGACGACCCAATGTTTTAATTACATCTTTCAATAATTCGAACCTTTAAAGACTTGATAGTATTTACAGAACTATCATCTATTATCTAGGCGTAAGAGCCTTTCATTATAGACACATTTAAGTGATCAATTAATTATACAGAATTATACCTGAGACAACACTCTTTTTGCAATTGTTATGATTAATTCTAATTATTCGTACCCCATTTGATATTATGTTTAGTCTCATCGCTGTGATGACTACCAGGTACGACAGTGTTTTAATAACGGTCATTCAATAATTTGAACCTTAAAGACGTCTTGATGAAGACAATATTTACAGAACTAGGGTCTATCATTTAGGCGTAAGAGCCTTTCATTTATCATATTTGCGTAATCAATACTAGAATTAACCTTGAGACTTCCCTCCTCTTTACAATTGTCATGGTTATTTCTGAATAATCGTTCCACATTTGATATTATATTAAGGCAAGCTTTTCAGAATTATCTCCGTCAGAAACTACTCCGACCATACCTTGATTGCCACTTGTGGATTTCATTTGAACCTTTAAGTTTCACAGAACTTTCCTTTAGGCTTCAGAGCCTTTAGCTAAACTTAATTGAATAATCGCAAGGTACCACTCATCTATTACATTATGGCTGTTTCTGGAATTGTACCCCATCTAACATTGCTGTGTTGACTGCCAGATACGAAAAACCAAAACCATATTTGGAAAAATGGAAACGTACACCTGAACTATGCAAGACAACTCCTTCAGGCAAGGGTAGCAATGTTCGTCTCTTATAAATACTGTTTGAGACATTGAACAACTATGAAATTACAACCAGACTTAACAACTGTGTTAAAAATTGTGTGTTGTCGTTGCTGCTCGCAAGCGTGAAGTGATCTACCTTCAATCCAACCACGCACACATTCCTGTGCCACTCCCTATTCAAATTACGCGCCCTTAACCACTCTACCGTGTCTCATTTACATATCAATGATAAAGCAGATTTATTCTAATTCGTCCCGGTACTCAACCGAATAAATCAATATATTTCACAGCTCTAAAATAGCGAACGTGTGGTTTTACAGTGGTGGATCTATAGGAGGTCAACCCCCCCCCCCCCCCCGACGCAAATAATCAAAACATTTTCCAAAACCCCCCTAACTTGACATCGCACCCTCCAGACAAAGCTATTTCCACCCCTGTTGAGGATTTCACGCTAGTTTCTGTTATAGTGAGTAGGTTTGCGTAATTGTGAAGTAAGTGCCCTTAGATTAGCCACTCATTATTTTCATGGGAATTGCCAACACTACAGCAGACATTTGTTGCATGACACTTAGAAATTACGGCTTTTGCAAAAGTGTAAAAACAATCATTTACAGGGGATTATTTATGTGCTTACAGGGATAGCGCAGGATTTCTGTGCTAGCGTGCTGTAAGCACAAAATGAGGATCATCAGCACAGAATTGTGTGCTTAAACCATGAGATTGAGTCTATTGAGTTAGTAGTGGCTTTTTGTAATTGCATGACAATGAGCTGAGCCTCCTGATATTGTTGGAGAAGCAATTTACGGATCCGTATCTGTCTGTTGGTCTGAAAGGAAAAACACAAAGTTTTAGGTGGAAAATGGACTGGTATATTGATGTTTAATATGTCGAGTTCTACTTGGCAAATAAAATGAACTAATTAAGAATTGTTCAATTTGCATTGAAAGTGATCAATACTCATTTTTGAAAAATCACCCACTAGAATGTCAATGATTGGACGCAATTAACAGATAGACTGGATTTAAAATCACAAAATCCAGGGACTAAACGTAAAGCGCATACTGGGAGGAGCTTTAAGTGCATTTTCTGCATGCATGGAAAAAGAGGGCGCTTTATAGTCAAACAAGCAGAAGCAGGAATGAGGGACACTTCGCTGGTTCACTCATGCTGGTTATCGTGTATTTGGTACCAGCATTTATAAGCCACGATGGCGCCCAAATAGCTCTTGTTCATAGTTTTCTCTGTGGGGGAGGGGGTGCTTGAGCGCAAGAGGAGATTCTACCTTTTCGTTGAGCGTAGTGACTTCTTTACTTGCTGATCTTCCAAGGAAACTTCTCCGTGGTCTCCCCTGCTTTCTCGTCTAATATCCAGGGTTTGGACAGCTCCTTGAACTGTCTCAGGCTCTACTCCTTGGGCTTCTTGTTCAGGTCCGGGATGACCTCCACGTCCGAGCATTTGATGCGGAACTTGCTGAGCATGTTGGCCATGTTCATCTTCTCCCTGTCCATTTGCTCCTTCTTGCCCATGGTGGCAAAGACGCGCAGCTTGCATTTCTCCCAGTTGGATTTCATGGAGATGAGGTAAGGGATGAATAGGGTCAAGCCTTGGGGGTGGGGGGAGGTGGGGGCGGAGGTGGGTGGGGGTTCATAAACCAAAAATATACAGAGCATTATTTCACTTTGACATAAAGCATGTGTTTCCTTAGACATGCAGCCATCCAGAATAACCTGAGTGATCTCTTAAAGGCTCCATGAAATGAATTGGACACTGAAACATATATTTAAATAATAAGGCAAAACCAAGAACAAAAAGTGTGGTGTTTTCTATTACATATAAAAAAACAACTGTG